TATATATATATATATATAATTAGTTTACATTTGTATTGTATAAAAAAATTTAAAAAACTTAATATGTTTGTAACAAATAATGTACTTCCGCCTCTGGGTCAGTGACCCCCAACTCGATCAGGTTTTTGTCCAGTTTCCCTGATCCATGAGCAAATGCTGAGATGTCCATTTCTTTTGCTTCTGGACATAAATATATCTTCTCTATGCACACATTTTGTTGAACTCTCCTTTTGTTTGTAATCATAGTAGTACAGAGGTAAGGACGATTTACTATTTTGTTAGCAGTGCAGAAAAATGATACGTGCAATTCGTATTTCGTTGCAAAGGGCTTTTCTATAACTCATAAACGAAAATGTCAATTTTTTTCAAATATTGCTAATCTTACGATTTTTCAAAGTTTATTTCTATTTATTTATTTTAAACATTTACTCATCTTTCAACTATTAATAGTTAAAATGACGGGAAGGGATTCTGGGACTCAAAATAATGTGCATAGGTAACCTTCTCCCCCATATGTCACATACAGTATTTTACTGTTGTTGTCTTTTTATTATTATTATTAATAATAATAATAATAATAATAATAATAATAATAATAATAATAATAATAATAATAATATTAATATTTTTTTGGGGGTGTCTTAATGAATCTTAATCTAAATCTAGAAGTATTTTGAAGTGAGTGGGGGATAACATTTATGTTGTGGGTGGTTTTCATTTTGTATGACAAGAATTATTTCTAATGACCACTAGATTGAAAAAATTCCTGTGAGGTTTGTAGAGATATTCATGTATTGTTATGGAAATAAATCTCCCTTATAGTGGTTAATATTTTAGTTCCAAGATCAAGGGTTTCATCTGGAATAAAACACTAATTTTTGAAAGTATGAAAATCCTAATTTTAAAGTGATAAACCTGTATTTATTGAATTTCTTTCACGAGTTCTATCAATGCAGTGATTAGAACACCTTTCCTAACCTTGGGGATGAATCCAGCTTCAAATACCACTGCAGCTGGGGATTTTTATCAAGCTATGACATATTCATTCAGCCTTCCTTCCAAATGAATACTAATTAAGTGACTTATTAACAGTAAATATTGTGAAAATATATGCCTGAAGTATGGTGCTTGCCATGGTATCTTCTCCCCTCTTGTTAAAGTGAGTTAATGTTGGCAAATATCTAGGACCCATTTCTTAGAACACTGGGCTCTGGACTCTTGCACAACTGGCACTGACACTGGAAACAATTGTTGATACAAGAAGTTCCCTAACATATTCAATTTACACCTAAGTAGGTTATATTTGAAAGTAAGTGAATAAGCACAGGGGGAAAAATCTGTTCTGTATTTTTATACAATGTTAGAGAGTTCTTCCGTTGTGTTAGTACTGACAATATTAATTCACAAATTTCTATCAAATGTGATTTTCGAACTGGCTTTGAAGAAAAACGGATCTCATCACTTCTGTTTCATTTCTAAAAATGTGTCTTAATTTGGCACAACAGAAATGTGTTAGCGATCACGCCTCCTAATATACAAACTACTGTTAAACTCAATTTTTACGTTTCTCACTTCACGTGTAAACGTGAAAACCTTTGTGCGTGTGTTTTTGTTAGGTCCCAGATAAATTCCTATAATTGCTATGCAAAATTATTTCAGTAATGCGTTTTCCCTTTATACGTTTTTCACACTTGTACGTTCATAATAAAAGCCCTTTTTTGTTTTGTTTTTTAAGGTCGCATAAACTTCTAGGTCATAAGCGTCCATTATTGCTTGTAACGGTATGGTAACTGTGAGGATTACACGATATGATGATAGGGGATGAAAGGACGAACACAACACAACCATGCCCGAGGCGGGTCTCGAACCCGCGATTCTTCGGTCCGAGATCGCTACGTCACTTCTGCCTTAACGATCTCGGCCATTCGGACCGGCAAAAGCCCCTTTAAGATCATGTAAAGTTCAAACGATGCCGGTGAGGTGCGGGGCGACCTGCGCCAAGAGCCCGGAACTTGTGTGTTAATCGAGTCGGCCCGCGCCAGAGCGCTTCCGCGGAGCGATCTGACGCCCGGTCTCTGAGGAGACTTCCCGCTCATGAAACTTGTAATATAGAAACTCGACTCGACCTAGATAAGAAGCCAAGACCGCGCGAGCCCGCGGGGTGGGCAAAGCCGGCTCTCGGACCGGCAGCGGAACTTTGAAAAATTTCAGAGTCGGGTGCGTACGGGGGCACCCTGAGGATCTCAGAAGGCGACGGCTAGGGAAAGTCAAATGCGTCCGCAGGGGAGAGTAACGACGTACAGATGATCAATAAGTGACGTTTGTGCACTGTCTGTTCCAATCTCCGAAGGCCCTTTTGCACGCCGTAATTATCATACGGGATCCTTTCGGTAGCGCCATGGCGAAAGCAGCTGATGAAATTGATTGCTTTTCTGTGCGGCTTAGCGGGTGTCGCCTGCGCTTCCTGTCGCCCACGTAGAACACCGTGCTTTGCCCTACGGAATCTCAAGTAACATCAAGCTTGAAACCGAAGCAACCAGCTGTAGCCAGTTGTAGCCCACAAAGGACACGGCCTTTCGTTTCCGCAGCGAAACCGTTCTCACGAGGTCATCAGTGCGTGTCCTCCATCTCAAGGGAGACATAAACGATGATGACCTTCAGTCGACAATATTTTTTCCAAGCTAATCAACGTTGTGATTTGTAGCTCTGAGGCTCTGTGTTTAAATTGAGGTATAGTTCGTCTTTTATAAGGTTTGCGACCGCGATATTAAACGAAAAAAAGTGGTAGGAAAAGGTAACCCCTTTCAATATCGGATAAAAAAAATTAACAGTTGTTAGAGAGAGTGGCAGTAAAAAGGTAGATATTGCTAAAGAACTGGGAAAGCGATGGAGTAAAAATATTAAGTCTTTATTTTTCTCATAACCAATTATATGTTAGTCAGTTATATGTTAGTCAGTTATATGTTAGTCAATTTCAGTTATTTTCTCACTTAAACATTTTCCCCCTTCAGTCCCCTGAAAAACATGTAAGTGAAGTGTTACTGTGGTGGAGATGGCTCGGAGAAACAACTGTGTTGCTCTGTGTGTGATTGGGAGGTCTTAGGGTTTGAGACTTGACGGTGGCGGATTTGTGACACTAGCTAGATAGCTAGTTGAATTCAGTTGCTTTCTGGAAAGGTATCAGAATACCTCTGGGAATTATATCAGTAGTTTTCTGTGGTTTCTCTGATCAATATCAGGTGAAAACTGAAACAGTACTCTAAAAAATGTCATGCGTGCCCTTAGGCACTCTTGTACACTCATTCACAGTCACACTCACATTCACTCTCTCACTCACTCTAATTCCAACTCACACTCACACTGACCACACATGTTGGAAACTTTGATATTGCCTCATCTGAGGTAGTGGCCTGCTGCTGGAGACACTTGGAAGGAGAAACCTCCACAAGGTCACATGTAAGTGCTAAATCTCACTTCTAGCGAGGGAAGAACATTGCTACCTCTTGAGGTATAACAAAAACTTCACTTACAGGGTTATGTGAAATGCAGTTGATATGCCCCAAAACATGAAATAATCAATCATCCTAATATGCTATTCTGATCTGGGACTGAGTGAAATGATAATATAATAAGTTAAATATTTGTATAAATATATTATTGTAAATTTGGAATTATAAATATGAAGGTAATTATCAATGATGCATTGATTGAACTTGTTACCCGTTCTATTCCTTAGATTTTTGATAAAAGCACTAAATGCTTGGAGAATGAAAGTGACAACATGGAAGGCACTTCTTCTAAGAGAAGAAAATTGGATGTGGGCATTACATCTCTTGTTGCTCGATTGCAAATTTCAAACGACACCCAAACAAATCCATGGTAAATCTAGTTTACTTTACAATGTTTATTTTCAGTTCTTGTGAAAACTCATTTTCAAAAAGTAAAAAAAAAAAATGTGATGTTATTTCCAGGTTTGTATTGTTGCTCATTGGCACCTTAATTTCCAAATATCCATCATCTTTAAAAGAAGAAGAGTTTGCTCTTGTGCTTGAACACATTGCAGAAATCCAAAGTTCCTGCAAGAAGGATTTGTTAATCGAACAAAATATTTCCTTGTAAGTTATATTTAATTATTATTATTTTACTGTTATTTGCAGAAGCTCATGAAATGAGTTATTCATATATACAAGGTAACTGTCAGTCATGTTGAATGTACATTCCAGATGTTGCATTACATTGTTGGAAAATGAAAAATTGTACAAAAAATTGAATAAAACTACTGTTAACGTTCTTTGGGATAAGATATGGGTGACTACAATGAGGTAAATAAATAATAAAATATTATTTTTTTAACTGGAATACATCAGTCTCTGAAATTAATTTGTTATTATTCTCTCTTTCAGATCTGTTGGCAGGGCTCAGAGTGAGAAAGCGAGCCATTCTTTGCTTCAGGCTTTAATGCTGCATGATAAAGCTAAAAATTTGCCTGAGGTTGTAAATTTGTTTTTTGACAATACATTTCAAGTATGTCTTCCAACTGTTCAAACACTTCATGTCCTTCTTGGCAAATATGATCTTTCAGCCTTAAGTCCCACTGGTGCAGTTTCTTCATCTGGGCATAGCACCATAAGAAACACTTTTCTGCAATGGCTCTTGCCGGAAAGCAGTTCTGAAAATAGCACCATGATTATACCATCTTTAGTTGAAGTTTTAATCCAACTGTGTTCTAAAACCATACGGCCAAGTAAACCTTCTGGTGGTTTACTAGCTGATAAGAGAAACCTTGAAATAATGTTACAAAAAATGGAGAACGACTATATGATCAGCAGTTTTGTACCAGAAGGAATTAAGAAAGACCTTGCTTGCTCCTCAACAACTCCAAATGATATTAGCATAGATACTCTCATTTGGGATTGTATACATGAATTACTTGTTCGCAAATGCAACATCCTGAGAAATTCATTGAGTGCAAATTGCTTTAGCATATCCAATCTTAAAAATATTTTTTATCATTTGAGTCTTTTGTTGGAAGTATGGCGAGTTTTTGATGGTAACATTCCCGACTCTTCAATGTGAGTGTGCTAATCTTTTGATTTTTTCCTATCCATTTTACTTGCCTGTGCTATTGAATTATAATTGCATTGTGTAACTTTTAAAAGGTAATAAGTTTGATAAGATGAAAGTTTCTAATGAGAATACTTCAATGGAATTCCAGGTTTCTAGAAACAATCGATTTTTTTATGCAGTATGTATATCGACATCTTGCTAAACAACTGAATAATGCTGGAAACTGTCCTTCTGAAATAGTTCGTATATTCCATGAATTTCAATCAGTTTTATTGGCCAAATATTCGAGGCACATTAGTCAATGGCTTTGCGATTCTTGGCTGAAAAAGTTAGTGGAATCCACAGTTTCTTTTGTTACCCAAGAAAATTCTTTTTGTCTTGAAAATGGTAAGTAGTTGTACTGTGAATTTCATATTTGTTGTAATAATTTGGCATAGTAGTGAGTGTAGTAATGAAAATGGTCAATGGATTGTGTTCTTTTAGATATCCTTGGAATGGAGGAATTTTCAAATAGAAATGACAAGAATGAAGATACTACTTCTGTTTTGGATGAATGCTTTAAATTAGAACATGGTAAGATTTTTAATTACATAATTTATTTGAAATAACTTACCATTGGAGACAAACATATCTTTCATTCTTTAAGAACCTTTTTTTTCAATTTATAATAAAAAATACTGTTTATACGACCATTTATTATTTGTTCATGAAGTCCAAGTGTCTGATTGTAATTTTGTAATTTATATTGAACTGTGGTTCTGACACTAGCCTCATATGTATCAATGTTACTTTTTCTTTGGTCATTCTTCCATGCTCGCAACATCCTCACGCATTTTAGGCCCCTCTGAAAGTTTTGCGGACTAAATTTATGTTATTCATAGTCTTTCATTAGACACCATCAAAGAATATTCCCTTTCACAGAAAAGCAATTCTTGAATATCACAAGGGATTAGGATGTAATGCGAAAACAAACAAATTCTTTCTTACATTTCCATAACGTATTTCAAGATATCCTATACTTTAAAAAATACAAGTCGTTGTAAAGAAAAGTCATACAGCATGCTAAAATCATAAAACATGATCAGAATCTTTTGAACTCAAATAAAAAACCAAAGGAATGTGAAATATAGTAAAAAATTTGACCAAATCAACTAGAACCCTTGTAGAAAATGTTTTAAAAGACGATGATAGAAATGTGAACGACCCAACAACAGTGGCTAGTTTCTTTAAACAATACTTTTCGAGAATTGCTGCTGATCTCACTAATGGTTTTCAGCCACAAATTCATCATTGGACACATTTTTAAAACGTGCAACAAAAATGAAATTGAAAATTATCTGCTAATTTCTTTTTTGTTGTTTTTTTCAAAAATATTAGAGACTTTTTTACATTCAATCCATTAGGCAACAGGTTGCCAACATAGGTTCTGTAAGTCAAAATCTTTGGAAACAACCATATTTTCTTTTCTTAAAAATGTTGCCTCATCCATGAATCAAAACAATGCACCTATTGGAATATTTTTAGATCTTTCAAAAGCTTTTCACGTTATTGATAATATTTTACTTTCTAAATTTCCTTCATATGGAATTCGTGGTGTTGCTCTAGATTGATTATGTTCGTGCCTTAAATGACGATCTCAGAGTAGAAATACCTTACTGGAATTATGGAACATTATGTACACACCTTTCCAAGTCTTTGCCAATTACATGTGGAGTTACGCAGGATTTTAGGCCATCTACTCTTCTACTACATGTAAACGATGACCCCTCGACATCTAAAAACGGAAGAACTTTTCTCTTTGAGGATGATACGAATATTCTTTGCAATAAAGAAACCATAAATTGTACAATAACATATTTTAAACTGGTTCCGCAAGAACAAATTAATTGTAAGTGAAAACAAAACGGTTTCACTGCAGTTTTCCATTACAAAAAAAAAAAATTATTGACTGATGTTTGGTAACAAAATTTTTAGTTACACACACTCGCTCGCACGCACGCACGCACACGTTCGCACGAACGCACACGCTCGCTCGCTCACACGCTCGCACACACGGTCGCTCGCTCGCACACTCGCTGGGTCGCTCGCTCGCACACTCGCTGGGTCTCTCGCTCGCACACTCGCTGGGTCTCTCGCTCGCACACTCGCTGGGTCTCTCGCTCGCACCCTCGCTCGGTCGCTCGTTCGCACCCTCGCTCGGTCGCTCGCTCGCACACTCGCTCGGTCGCACGCTCGCACACTCGCTCGGTCGCTCGCTCGCTCGCTCGCACACTCGCTCGGTCGCACACTCGCTCGGTCGCACACTCGCTCGGTCGCTCGCTCGCACATTCGCTCGGTCGCTCGCTCGCACACTCGCTCGCACGCACGCACGCTCTCGCTCGCTCACACATCCGCTCGCTCACACGCTCGCTCGCTCCCTCACACGCTCGCTCGCTCCCTCCCTCACACGCTCGCTCCCTCCCTCACACGCTCGCTCGCTCGCTCCCTCCCTCACACGCTCGCTCCCTCCCTCACACGCTCGCTCGCTCCCTCCCTCACACGCTCGCTCGCTCC